GAAAGTGATCTACAGATTCAATGTAATCCCCATCAAAATCCCAAAAACATTTTTCGTAGAGCTAGCAAAAACAATCCTAAAATTTGTGTGCAAACACAGAATGAGACAAAGAAATCCTGAGCAAAAAGAGCAACCCTGGAGGGGCTGGGGATTTAGTTCAGTGGCAAAGCACCTGCCTTGCAAGCGCAAGGACATGAGTTTGATTCCTGGTACTGGAAGAAAAAAAAAAAAAAAAAAAAAGTAACCCTGGAGGTCTCACATTGACCAATTTCAAAATACACCATGAATCCATACTAACAAACAAAGCATGGCAGTGGAATAAAAATAGCTGTGTCTACCATAAAATTGACCAAACCCACAGAATTATAGCCAGATAATTTTGGACAAAAGGGCCAAAGATATAAGTTAAGAAAACCCCCACAGTCTCTGTAATAAATGGTGCTGGGAAGTGGGTATACATCTGTAGAAGACTGAAGTTAGAGCCCCTGTCTCAGTCACTTTCCTGTGGAGACGCAATACCTGACACCAGCATTTTAAGGGAGGAGAGGTGTATTTTGGCTCCTGCTTACAGTCCATGGTTGGCTGACTCCAAGGCAGAAACAAGATGGTAGAGGGCAAGGCAGAGAAAAGCTGCTCACACCATGGTGGTCAGGAAGCAGAGAATGAAGGAAGGAGCCAGAGAGGGAGGTATGTCTTGCCTCAGTGACCTTCTTCCGGCCAGGGCCCCTCTTCCAGCAACACAGTGGGCTGCGAACTCCCAGGTACACGATCCTCTGATCTGGACGCTGCCCCCATGGTCTAATCACCGTCCTCTAGCCCCACCTGTGAGGCTATGTGGCCTTTGGGGACATTGTTAGTCTTTAAACCACTACACACTCTGTATAAAATCAATTCAAAATGGGCCAAAGACCAGGGAATAATACGGGAAACTTAGAACTGCTAGAAGAAAAGATAATGAAGACAGTTGAAGTCACAGGCACAGGCAAAGTCAGGAATAGCACGGAAATAACAGCAAGAGTTGACCAATGACAAAGCATCAGATTAAAAGACTCCTACACAGTAAAGACAATGACAGAGTGGAGAGGCAACCTACACAGACTAAGAACAAATTTTTACCAGCTACTCTTCTGACAGAGGATTAATATCCAAAATATGTAAAACCTCCCCAAATGAATACCAAAACCCCCTAATCAATAATTGAGTAAGTGAACTGAAAACATGTCACAAAAGAAGTATAAATGGTCAGAAAGTATATGAAAAATGTTGAACAGTTCTAGCCATTAGGGAAATGCAAATCAAAACTATAGTGAGATTCCTTCTCTCTCCAGCCAGAATGGCTATCATTAAGAATACAAACAAACAAAACAATGCGAAGAAGATAAAGAAACCTTTTGTGCAGCTGGTGGGAATGTAAATCACTATGTAAATCAGTATGGATATTCCTTGAAAACAGAGCTACCATTTGATCTGGTGATACCATCCCTTGGTGTATACCTAAAGGAATTAAAGTCAGTATACTGATACTGTAGGGACACTTGCATACCTGTGTTTATTGCTGCACACTTCACAATAACTAAACTGTGGAAAATAGTCTAGGTGTCTATCAACAGATACATGGACAAAGAACATGTAGTCTGTGTATACGCAATGGATTGTTATTTATCAGTAAAGGAAACAAAATCTCATAACTTGTAGGGAAATGGATGGACCTGGAAAGAGTTATGTTAAGCAAAATTATCCACTCAGTCGAGTATAGTAAGTTGTCTCTCGTAAGTGGAATGGGGGGTGGGAGAGAGAAAGAGAGAAAAGAGAGAGGGAGAGAGGAGACAGAGACAGAAACAGAGGTGACATAAAAGTAGAAAAGTAGATGGGAGACTATGTAGGAAGAGGAAGTGGAAAAAGGAAAGACAAGAGGAACAATGGGAGGTAAAAATTGTCAAAGTACATACATACATGCATGGATATGCTAAGATGGAATCAGCTGTTCTGTATAAATAATACACACTAATTAAAATGATTTGAGAACAAAAGCCAACAAAAGTTTTACACCAGAAAAACAGCAAGATGCAGAAGAATGGGCATGGCAGACTACCTCATGTTTAAAAATGATAGGTATATAATATTTATATCATTAATATGTACAGTGGATTCACAGGCTGTCTCTGAATGAATACTGCTAACTCTTGTTGCATCTTGGTGGTTAGCAAACAGGAGAGAAAAGGACACTTCCTTTTTATTGAATGTCTCTTAGCTGTTTGAATCATGTTCAGGTTCATGTATTACCTGTTACATATTTATTACAAATAAATCAACATCACTTCAAATGTTAGTTTAAGGCCAAGAATCTGTGGGGCCTAAAGTGGGAAAAGTTATTATGGTTAAATTTTTAAAATTTTACTCTAAATCAGAATATCTTTTAATTAAATTTTAATAAATTTTTAGTGCAGTTAGCAGGCATTGCCCAGCCCTGTTTTAGGCATGGGAGAGTCATAGAACAATTATTTTTTTCTTACTCCTTTCAAAGAAAGGACTTATATTTTATAGAGGAAGGAGTCTCATAAAAAACGGTTTAAGGGTGCTTGTTCATCCCTAAAATAAAGAGCAAAGTGTTTAGCAAATAGAGGTTCATAGATGTGAGTTCACTAAAACTTCTGCCTCTTATGTGTGATTTTGGCAAATTAATTAAGCTCTAGTTTCTTGATATAAGCTAGGGCTATAGTAGTCCTTCTAATGCATTGTTTTGATGATTTGACAGATATGCCATGTAAACTACTGGAATATAGTGATACCTTGGTTGATATCAAATGGCTCCAAGCTCGAACTTTCCACTACTTGAACAGCAAAGTTAAAAAAAAAAAAATTTGGTGTTCATAACTTTGCTGGATAGCCAGACTGGAAATCTGACTTGAAAAACCTGTACAGGCCAAGAATGGGTCATGTATCGCATCTCTGGACTCGAAGGCATAACATTTCAGTATAAGCTCTGCTCTTTCCCGGACAACATAGAGTGCTTGTGTTAATGCGTTAAAACATTTGTCATTGTGCTTTTTCACTTTATTTGCATAAAATATCAACCATGGCTCCAAAGAGTTAGTGATACCATCTTTGTAAAATGTGTTGAAGTCCTAGAAAAATGAATTTATAAGTGCAATTTTTGGGCCTCAGAACCAATTATTTGGTTTTCCTTTATTTCTTATGGGAAAGATATGCTTCGTTCTTGAGCTTTTTGTTGTTTGAACAAGACTTTGGAACAAACTGAGCTCAGCAGCTGAGATGTCACTGTACAGTGATTGTCATGAAATAAAGTGCAATAAATGAGGGTGTTTTTGGTAATCAGTGCCCTTTGCTTATAAGTCTTCTTTGTTCAATCGTGAAGAAAAAACCCCTAACACCAAAAGGGCCATGGGCAGCCTGCTGGAGAGTGAGCGGTGGGAGTGCTGATAGCGGAGCTGGGCTGAGGGGAGTATATGGAATTCGGTTGAGAAATGGGGAAGTAGTTTAGGCAGAGATGCAAGATGAGCCAAGGGAAGGAGTGGGTGAAGAAACTGCGCCGGGAAAGGAGCGGGCAGGGCGGTTGGATGGGCATGGGTGACAGTAGCCAGGTCGCAGATGAGAACGGTGCTCAGTCCCGGGACTTCCTGAAGAGTGCACTTAGCAGCTGGCCTTCAGGGGTGCAGGTAGAACCAGAGAGAAGAAGACCCAAGAGAAGAGGGGGCAGGAGGAGGCACAATGTGAGCAGTGAAGAGGGAGACAGAGGAGATAGTTGAAAGGGTCAGGGAGAAGCTGAAGACCCCAGACAGCTGAGGGTCCTGGCATGAATGGAGCAAGGAGAGACAACAAGGAAGAAAATCAAGATGGGAGGCTTAGCCCTGCAGGGGGTCGGGGATCCTGCTTCTGACACAGGCAGAGAAGGGGAAGCGGTGCTGAGGTAAAAGTTGGGTTGTGGAAGAAAGCGAGTTGCGAAGGGCTTCATACTTGTTTTCCTGAGGCTTGAAATAAAATGGCCCATGGACAGTGTTGGTGTTTGGAATGGGCTTTTCGGGTTGAGCACGAGAGGAGGGATTTGGACCATTTGTCATAGGAAATGGAAAGAAATCATTGGGTCGGGAGGAGGAGAGAGCTGGCTGTACAGTGCCAGGGTCCAAGCCTATGCTAATGGTGAAGTCACTCACAGGGTGTGTGGCTCTCACAGCAGCAGGAGGGTGGCGAGACTCGCTCCACCCAGACGCAAGAGTCCAGGGAGCTGCAGACCTGGGCAGCGGAGCTGATGAGCAGGGGAGGAAGCAGAGTCTCTTCAAAGAATAGAGTGGGGGGCATGGGACCTGAAGGCAGGGGTGATGGAAACAGGAGAGGATGGAAGGCGAAACCTTGCATGTATGGCTGCAGGGAGGGCACATCAGAACCCTGTGTTATAGTTTGTTTTGGTTTTGTTGTCCTGTTTTTCTTTTGGTGTGGGAAAGAAACCTGTTTCAGGTTGTTTGCTTTATTTTTAAAACTTTTTAATGAGTAGTACATGTTTGCAGTGCATAATGATTACATTCATTGTGGGGAGTTGGTACACGTTTTATTGTTCTCTTCCAGAAAGCACTCTTGAAAAAGTTGCCTGAAAATTCTCATACTAGCCCATGGTTCCTTTGTGTTTGTGACTTTGACACAGGTCATAAGCAGTATGTCCAGGGTTTAAGGTAAATTGTTGTTTCCTCGAGAGCTTTGTTAAGGGAAGCTAATGCCGATAGAGGCTGAGTCTCCAGAGTGTTTATATAAATGGGGGAAAAGCTGGGTTTCCACAAAGGCCTGGCAGGTCTCTGCCAGGTCCCTGGAAACCTGAGAGAGAGAGAGATAAAAGATAGAGTGAGAGACAGAGACAGACAGAGACAGACAGAGAGAGAGAGGACGAAGTAGAAGACGGGGAGGAGAGGAGAAAGAAGAGGAGGGCGGCAGAGGAGAGAGGAGACTAATATAAGCTTAGAGTTTTATGTTCCTTTGCTTTGCTTTTAAAGGTAAAACCAGTATCACACAGCAGGATCAATGTGTCAGCGCGCTTTAGAAAACCGCTCCAGGAACCCTGCACAATCTTGTAAGTTGAAGCCCTTTCCATCGGCTTCGCGTTTTCCTTTTGTGTCAGAATTGGGGTTTTATAGGCATTATCTGTTTCAAATGGTTTGGCTTCTCCCCTCCCCCTCCAGCTTGATTGCGAACGGAGACCTCATAAGCCCCGCTTCCCGCCTCCTCATCCCCAGGAAGGCCTTGAGTCAGTGGGATCACGTACTACAAATGGTCACGGAAAAAATCACTCTCAGGAGTGGGGCTGTCCACAGGTAGGTAAGGCCCTCTCCAACAGGTGGAGGGGCTCAGGATTGCTGGATACTTTTCCGGCAGGCTCTGGAGATGCTCGTCCCTAGATTTGACTTTGAGTTCCATAGTTGGGCTCTGTTTGCCTCTGTTGCTTGATCTGCAGAATGGATAAGCAGCAGTTCTTGTGCTGTGGGGTTGTTTTAAGGAATGAGGGAGTCCGCGCGAAGAGCTTCAGCAGTCCTTGGTCCATCGAATCCCATCAGTGAGAATTATCACTTTTCACTCCTTTGGTTTTGAGCGCATGGGCAGGCATTGGCAATTTTTTTTGTGGTGAGGACTTTTTTGAGAAAACCAGTTTCTTGACTCTTAATTAACTCTTTTTGAGGAGATATTTATGATTATTTCATGATTTGAACTAGGTACCTAGAGTGAAAAAATATCAAATGCCAGAGGATGCTCATAGCTTTAAGGAATAGGCAGGTTAGAGAAGATAATCATCTAGACTTAGAGTATCGAGTTTTCCCTGGGCTGTAAAATTTAAGTAAACATTGAATGCAATCATGGTCTTTAAATTTTGAAGCCTATCAAATTATCCCTTGATGGAGGCTGGCGTAGTTGTTTTCTTTCAGATGGAGAATATACAACATACAAATAACATGTAATAATACAATATACAAATAGCATGCAATAATACATATCAAAAACATGCACTGCACACATGAATATTTGAAATCCAGTGAAGGAATTTTCCTATAGTTCTCTTCAATATTTATCTCCACCCCAGCCTCTAATACATTTAATCAATGGAACCTACTCTTATGTTCAAGTTCTCATATTTGCTGTCATGCACACATGATAATATACGTTCTCAAATGATTGTATGTTTTATCTTCCAGTTAGATGTCTGTACAGATTGATATATGCATATTTACATATATTAATATATATGTTTCACAGCCACTGAGATTTTAAATATAATTTTTTAATTGAAATACCTTAAATGTGGCAAAAATTCAAATGGGACAAAAAGTATAAATTAAAAGTGTTTCTCTCACTTCAACCCCCCTGTACTATTTTGCAACAGTCTAGAAATATTCTATGCATATGCAAGAATATTTGTACTGTATTTCTTATGGGTATAAATGTGAGCACATATGCATTTATATGTACAAATAAATACATAAATAGATGTACACACACCTCCCTTACCTTTTATTGAAACAACAAATCTTAGAGACTGTTCTTAGAGATAGATCACAAGTAGCTCTATTTTATTATTCATAATGATGGCAAAGTTTTCCATTCTGTGGGTGTGTCCTAATTTATTTCACCACATCCTCTAGATGGAAATTTTACATTGATTCCAATCTTTGGTATCACATGTACATATCTTCGAACATAAGAGAAGTTTGGTAGGTGACTTGAGTTTAGAGTTGAACCGTGTCATGTGGCAGATGCATTTTAAATTTTGATGAATATTGCCAAAGAATTTGTATTAATTTGTACTCTCCCCAAAAATTCATGAGAAGGCCTCTTCTCCATTCACTCTTATGGGTGCTATAAAAATAACAAAGCATTTTGTCTTTTCAGGGTTGAGTAAAAATGTTATTGTTTGATGTTTATTTGTTTGATACACAACATCTATCTGACACTTCTTGTGTGCCAGGAATTGTTCCAAGTGCTTTATATTTTTACTAACTCAGTGACCCTGTGAAGCAAGTAGCATTATTCAACTTTCATAGACATGAAATGTCTGGCAGAGTAGGAAAGTTACTGGCCCAGGTTTATGCAGACAGTGAGAAGAAGGGCTGGGATTCAAGCCTAGCAGGCAGTCTGGCTCTAGAATCTGTGCTCTTAATTACTAAGCCACTCCCTAAGTAAATCACAGGTGTATACATTCCATTATGCAAACTTTCACATCTTATTAGTTTGTGGTATTCTTTACATATTAGGGAAATTGGTCCTTTCTCATGTGAGTTTTAAATGTGTCTAGTTTGCATTTTTTATATTTCTTTATATATATATATTTTTTTTTTGCAGTACCTGGGATTGAACTCACGAGCTTGGGCTTGCCAGGCAGATGCTTATGCCACTGAGCTATATCCCCAGCCCTTTTTACATATAAACAGTTTGAACTTCGATGTAGTCAGATTTTCAATCTTTGTGATTACTAAGTTTACTATCTTGGATCTATCTGACTCTGAGATTATAGTGTTGTCTTTTGACACCTATATAAACGTAATCTCATCCAATAAATGATAAAGCACTCAAAGATATATATAAATAATATCATGCCTCAGTATACCTTCTCATGGCCAAATATATACATTTAGACATACAAATATATATATTTATTATATATATGCACTATGTACATACATGTGTATATACACATTTATATAAATACATTCACATGTAGAAATAAAATATATGCAAGTATAACATAGAAATGGAGCCATATGTCTCCTGAACACTTGAGAACTTAGAGAAACTTAATTCTTAATGTAAGGCCAGATGTGGGTAAGATTTCACTGATGCTTATTTGCGACAAACCTGCTTCTCTTTAACAGAACATTAAGGAGCCTTTCTATGTGTCAGCACATTTATGTACCAGTAGCATCCCATAAAAATTGGTTTGACTCCAAGTTTATGATTCTTGTGTTTTGTAGCAAAGGAAGAAAGCAGGCCAACCAGAACAATACACAAGAAAGTGAAATCATGCATGATGTATTACTTATTAAAAGAACAGGATTTCAAGATGATCATTAATATTCTTTATCTGGCACCCATAGAAAAAAATAGTCCAATCTTAGGTGGAGATTTTGAGTCCATGGCTATGTTGCCCTTTAATTTCGAGCTATAAAAGTTAACTACTGATTCAGATCTAAACAGTGTGAAGGAAAGTGAAAGAAGAATGTCTGGCTCCAGGCCAGTGGTTCTCAGCCAGGCGCACTTCTCCCCCAGGGACATTTGGCAGTGTCTAGAGCGGAGTTTGCTAGTCACAGCTGGGGATGAGAGTGGTTGCTACCTCCAGCCAGCAGAGCTGAGTGTGCTGCTTGGGGTCCTGCCACAGACAGGACAAACTCCTCCCTCGCCAACCAAGACCCTTGGGTCCAAAATGTGAACTGTGCCGTTGCTGCTGCTCAAAAACCCTGGTCTAGGGCAAGACGGAAGAAACAACAATTTGGGTTGTGTTGACATTTTAGACTTGTAGGGGCAAAAGTATCATGCTGTAAAGAAAGAGCCTCTATACTAAGGAAACAAATACATTTCAGTGCCCTTCCGGGCTGCATATGATATAGCCACTTGAATAATCACTGAACAAACAGACAACTCAGTGGTTTTTCTTTTTGTCTTTGCAAAAGTTAATAACCTTTAATATGTAATGTAAGAAGGCTGGGCATTTCTTTAATGATCATCTTGAAATCCTTCCAGCAATTAACTTGTGATAACCTTCAAAAATATGCATTGTTTACCTGGCTTAGCTTTCTAACGGCCAATCCCCTATCCGCCATGCTTAAAAAAAAGTCTGTGGGCACTTCAGATCATCTAGTAAAATTATCACTGTTCTTTTAATAAGTAATACATTAATTGTGGCTCACAGCAGCTTTAGAGTAAAGAAAGGTGCTTGTGAACCCCTGGATGGGTCATGCGGCCGGGCAGGATGCGTTCTCTCGCTAGGAGCTGGCAGGGAAGACAGGCACGAATGCTATGCAGTTCCGCATCAGTGCTGCTGGCCTGGGTTCTCCTCCCTCCTGCCTCAAAACCTCCCTGGTTCTGACCAAGTGTCTCTGTGTGTGGTTGTGATACTTTGGCTGGGGGCTCTTCTTGTACAGAATGTGCCCTGCAGCTGGTCAGCCTAACAAATAGACAAAGAAAATGCATTTAAACAGTGCTCACAAAATGTAAGTAGAAAAAAAAAATCTTCCATGTTAGCTGAGCTTTATTTAAAGCACCATGTCCTGTAGAAGGCTTTTTTGGGGTGGTGGTGGTGGTCCTGGGAATGGAACTCAGGGGCCACTGAACTACATCCCCAGCCCTTTTTATTTTTTATTTTGAGAAAGGTCTTGCTAAGCTTCTCAAGCTGGCCTTGAACTTGATATCCTTCTGCCTTCGTCTCCTGAGTAGCTGGTTCTACAAGTTATTTTTTAATTTTGTCCTTCTCTAAAATCATAATATGGCAGCATTGTGAGATCCATATGGTTAGTGGTCACACTTATTGGACAAAGTACATCTAGATAGTAACGAGATCTACATTATAAAGCAGACTTTTCATTGAATCTAGTGGCTCTGAGACATTTATAGTTCAATAACTGAAAGAATAACAAATGACTCTAAGAACAGGATGTTTTAATTTACTTTGTAACTTAAAGCAGTTCTTTCAATGTTCAGAAAAATTCAAAGTGTTGGTGCTGATATTTTGACAGACTTTATACTTTAGAAGGAAAGCTTGTTGAGAACGGGGCGGAGTTGGAGAACGGACAATTTTATGTGGCTGTCGGCAGAGATCGGTTTAAGAAATTGCCTTACAGTGAGCTGCTTTTTGACAAGTCCACCATGAGGAGGCCTTATGGGTAAGTCTTCCTCTCCCTTCATCCTTTTTAGGCTTTAGCTGTCACTTGAAATAGCACTGGGTCTTTTGCTGATCAAAATTATATTTTATGTAACTGACAATCTTATTTATTGGGTAGGATGAAAAACACACAGGATATGTTGACCTTTTTTTTTTTTTTTTGCATAGGAGCTATTACACAAAGATCTAATTTTTTGGAATTTGTAAAAAGACTCTCATAGTATTTTATTATTATTATCATTTTTGCCTTGCACTAAATTTATAGTCAATACTAAGATTTATTCCTGTGAAGAAGATACAGGGAAAAGAGCTTCTCTGTATAAACCTTACAGAAATTTTAGTATCTTAACAATTTAGCTAGACCAAATAATTTTTCAGTTGGTTTGGGTAAAAGCATCCACAGACAGTAAAGAAAAAAAATCAACATAATATTTTATACCTCTTTTAATGATTGTAAATTATAAAAGCATTATCATTGTACTGGTGCAAATCAACAGCTGAGTGTATATGACATGCAAGTTTAAGGATGGCACTTGTGATTGCATGTGATGCACCGGAAATGTTTTGGGCTCCATGAGAGGTCGTGTGTTGTCAAAGGCCTATTTCTCAGTTTGGTGGGTTCCCAGCTGGGCTGCACAGGACCTCTTTGACCCCAGTCCGGGACCTCTCAACCTGCTCACTGTGTCCCAGGATTCATCTTGTGTTGATTTCCACAGAGACTTTGTGGCCACTTTGCTGTACAAAACCAAGTTTTCGTGGTTGTCCCCTGCAGAGAGAGAACAGACTTTCCCCTAAGTATTTTCCGTGATTTTACAAGTTGTGTCACTTAGTTCTAAACTAGTCATAGAAGAAAGGAGATTTCAAGGGTGGTGCCTGAGCTATGCAAGAGCATGTGTTTTCCCGGCACTTTCAAATTATTTACCGGCAGACTTCTTGCTAGTGATCCTTACTCATCCATGAAATCAGATCCTTTAGCAATTTCTGCTAACGACACTGGGTTACCCTACTGTGAGCTGTAGCATGTGTTTGACAGTAAAATAACTCATGTTGTCCTGTTAGTAAGATTCATCTTCATTTATGTGGCCTACCTTGGCAGACTTTTAGCTGTGTTTCAAGATGGGTCTTTTCCTAAGCGTGTAGACATTGGGTGAAGCAGCTTATAGTCTGAAAAAGAATTTTTTACTTTTGGTGACAACGACAACTTTAAAACCTCCCTGAGTGTAAATGCTGTTATCTCCCCATTCTCTTCAGTGAGAGGTAGACATAGTGGGCCTTAGAAAAGCAATGAAAATTTATATTTTTCAACTCAACCTGGCAGTCAGTACTTAGCTTGAGAAATGATTCTTCTAAAATGTAAATGGAAAATTTTGGGATTCGAATAAGAGTGCAATTAAAATATTTAAATTTATTTTAAAGTAAAATTTATTGTTAAGAGTCACTTCATACAGTGTACAGGGAAAACACTAAAAATCTTTTGAAATGGAATTTGGAGATTTTATGATATTCGTTGTGAAACTGAGAAACTGTATAGTATCTTCTGTAAAACACAAAATGTCAGTGAATGGTTGACTTCTGGGTTTGGCTGACAATTATCTTGCATTATGTATTATTTGTAAATGACATCCAGATGTCTAAGTTGCAATTTCTTTCCACAGTCAGAAAGCCTCTTCACTGCCTCCTATTGTAGGATCCAGGAAGTCTAAAGGGAGCGTAAGTATCAGAAGCTTTTCTCATTAATGTTCTGTACTTCTGTATGAGCGACTGTCCTTTGGGTTTCAATTAAATTCAAAGAAATAAGACTTGACTGTCTTCTGGCATATAAACAATTATGCGAAACAACACTAGAACTAAATGTTATAATTAAGGACTTAAAACATGGCTAATATTTTCAGAATATAGATTTCAGAATTTTTTTGGCTTATATATACACCTGATATACTTTATAGTATAGTTGGAATCTGGGCAATAATACATGCAATTAAAAGAACCACCTTATGAGGTCTCATACCAGTGGTCAACTCAGACTTCTTTCTACCTCTGAAAAAGATTCAAAAGGAAGTTTTGATAAGAAAAGGGTAATCCTCAGTTATTTTTATATAAAAGATTGAGAATCATTTCAAATACTTAGTTCTCTTTCCAAATCTTTTCCATTTATCATTCATTCATTATTTGTTCCACAAACATTTATTAAACACTTATTAAGCAGGAAATGTGATGAGCAGTTAGTGGGTAATTTTTTAACCTTTTTTCAGCGGGAGCTGCCCGCAGGATGGACCTCATGTCCTGCTGCAGTGTTGCTCTCTGGGTTAACCGTGTTTCTCTTCTGTCCCTCTTGATGGACTCACCAGTAGTTACCAGAACTGGTGTGGCATCCCCCATTCCAGCCTGAATTAATGAAGCAACATCCTGGTTTTTTAAAACAAATGACTGATGTAGAGTGACAGCGTCATCCCCCTTTTATGTTGTGACGTTCTTGAAAACGAGTTTGGTGTGTGTAATTAGTGCTGAACTCAGCACCACAGACTGGCATTTGTGAACAATCAGCGGGGCCTCTTGCCCTATTTCTGACAGTGCTCTTGTCCTCAAGAAATACAGGATCTAATAGAAACAGAGGAGGCAGCCTGCAAAGGCAACGAACAAGCGAAAGTTACAAATCAAAGACACATTGAGGTTGGTGACTGTGAGGGGGACAAGGAATCAGTGAACGCTGGCAGTGAGGAAGCTGAGCCTGAGCTCTACCTTGGGGACCACTTAAGACTCAGGTGAAGGTGGACAGGGGCAGGGGTTCGAGGTAGCAGGGGCGGAGGGCTGGAGGAGACTGAGCAGGTGGACAGGCAGTCACGCTGGCTGGCATCCATGACCGCTGAGGGCTGTGCCATGCCCCTGAATGAGGGGACAAGGGAAGCGCTGGAGAACCCCAGGTATGTAGAACGTGGGAATTGCATTTCATTCTCTTACTTTTCTTTATTCATTCCTCAATCTCCAGTGCCGGTATCCTGATGAGCTGCCTTTAAGATGAAAAAGGAGGCAGACAGTAGCAGCCACTTGTCCGAGGCTCCCTCTGTGCCTGCAGCAGGGAGGGAGGAAGCCCAAGGTCTGCCCAGAGCTCAGGCGTTGACCGTGTGGGACAGGTGCCCATGGCATATGGAGGGCTAAACAGTGGAAAAAATGTCCCACTTTTATCCTTTTGGGGAACCTCAGGTCTTTCATGCCAGGGCAGACAGAGCACGATGGGAGGCCACAGATTGGTCCTCAGATGTGAGGCAGTTGCAGGGGCCTTGGTATAAGCAGACAGGAGCCTGGGCCAGGGGCCGAGGTAGCAAGAGATGACCATGAAGAATCAACTGCTTGGTGATTGGATGCACAGGGCTCAGAGAGTTGAGAGCCAGAGATGACTGTGGAATTTCTGAGCTGGGGTGGCAGAGATAATGACCTGCTTTATTTCAAACGTGTCCAGCTGGCAGTGTTACCATGAAATCTCCGTGGAAGTGCTCAGCAAGCAGTGGAGGCCTGTCAAGGACGTCATGGCTGCACACAGAGCTGTGACTATGGTGTTAACTGAGAAGCAGAGACAGCCACTGAATAGCCACACAAATCCCATGAATGTAGGCTCGGGGAATCGCGTTTTGTTCTCTTTCCCCCAGTGCCTTGCGCAGAACACACAGCTGTCAGCCCGCCTCTTCTCACTGGAGAGCAGTGCTTGAGAAGACCCAGCATCGCTGTGACTGACCCAGGGAATGAGGAAAGTTGACGTCAAGACCAAGGCTATGACCCAACTCTTCACACTCACAATCACTGAAGTTTGGAATTTCATGTCTTTTCCTCTGAAATTTAAAATCTAAAATTTTCAGTGAAAAGCGTAACACACATCTTGCTTGACGATGCATGGCCCAGCACACACCTGCAGTTTTCTTTCTCACTTAGCCTCTGGTTGTGAATACTGGCCCATCTAACAGTGATTGTTTTGTGTGTCTGGCTGGTACTGAGCCCTGGGGAGACGGGGATGAGAAAAAGGCACCATGTCCTCCCCGATGCTCATGGTCTACTCCAGGAGACAAGGGCTAAGCCAAGGACTCCACAAATCACTGTATAATTAAATATGATAAAAACCAGACAGTAATGTGAGATACAGCAAAACAAACGTCCACAGGTGTCAGGTGAGGCCCGCACGGAGGAAGTGACTCTTACACAAAGAACTCGAAGGAATAAGGTATAGTCCCACCCCATGGAAAGCAAAAGCTCAAAAGTATCAAACATATTTCCATGCTACAGCTTGGAGAAATAAAATGCTAACAGGTTCCATCCCCTCCTCACGGTATCCCCACAACACTCCCGCAACGGCTCTGCCGGCCATCCGGTCAACATGTGTTTACTCAGTGAGTACTAAGCGCTCTGTGCCCCAGGAGCTTTTATTCTAGACCTCGTGTGTGTGTGTGTGTGTGTGTGTGTGTGTGTGTGTGTGTGTGTGTGTGCACGTGTGTGTGGTAGGTGGATGTCCAGATGTTCAGATCACAAACATATAAATAATTTCTGATAGCAGTAGTACTATGAGTAAGCTAAAATCTGGCAGGGCATTAATTTATAAAATTGTCCGACACAGATGTGAAGGAGCCATTCATTAACAGGAGGGGCGGCAGAGTTTCCCAGACCCTTTGTGAGGAGCGTGGCATGGGAGGAGGGCAGCAGGCAGCCAGGTTGGTCTGAGCTAAAGTCAGAGAGGCAGGGAGGCAGAACCATCACACTTGGGCCGGGCAGGGGGTTTGGATTCCATTCGTTGGTGTGCTGCTGGGTGGGGACCTCGGAGGGGGAAAAGCACGATTTAATGCATGCTTTCCAAAGCTCCTTCTGGCCGTCCTGTCTGCAGAGGTGTGCAGGCCAAGCACAGAAGCAGGAGGCGGAGGGACAGCTGGCGTCCAGGTGTGTGTGTCAGGCAGCGACAAGTGGCCGGAGGGTGATAGTCATCTGCATCATTCTGCCTTAGTGTGTGGTCCTCTATGGGCTCATCCACATCCCGCCCGCAGTTCTTCTGCGGACCTGTTCTGTCCTGGGCCCTGTTCTAGGGCGTGGGGGTCTGGAGATCCCAAACACCAAAGGCGTGGAAGGTGTGTCCTAGGCGAGGAGACAGGACACACACAGGGTGCCTTTGCTGTCAGCCAGGGATAAGCTTAAGAGCTCGTCAGTTTGGGAGAAGAAAGGACAAGACGGCCGTGTCCGGTGGAAAGGCAGGTGGAGGGCTCTTCAGGGACGCCAGTACCACCCTGGTGGGCACAGCATATGTTCTCTGAACCCTTGGGTGTGCCGTGGGGGGTGTGTGTAGGGGTGGACCCCCGGCAGGGAGCGGCACCCGGGAAGTCGCCAGCTGGGTTTTTAGCAGCTTGAGGACCAACGTGCTCGGTTCCTTGAATGCGTAGGTTCCCTGTGTGATAGGAGCAGAGGAGGGCTGTAGGGGAGCGGACTCTGAGGACAGCTGGCCCCGACCTCCGCACTCCCGCCGCTGGAAAGGGACACAGGCCAGGGCTTTGGGAATTTATTTCTCCGCACGGCTTTCTGGGACTCGCTGTGCTGCATAAAGAAGAGGGCTCGGGGGGGAGGGGAGCCGCTGCCCCGGGACAGCCCGGGATGCATTCTGCGGGGCAAGCGCAGGAACCCAGGGCAGCGAGCGAGTGAGAGCAATCTGGGGCGCGATTCTATCCTTAGGCACAAAGAGAAGATGCAAGAGTCACCCTGGGTTGTGTGGATTTTGGGCAGGGATCCGCTCGCTGCGGAAGTCTGGGGCCGGGTCACTGCGCGGGCCAGGGCGCCCCCTACCGGAGAGAGGAGTCAGCGACAGCCACGAACTCCTCTGGTCCGCAGCACCCCGGCGAGGACAAGCACAGCAGTAGTATAATATAACAGGTTATAATAGCAATTTACAAGACACTGTGATGATTTCTGACTTTTTGTTAAAAGCTGCATGACTGCCATGACAGGTTATCACAGAGTCATTGTGAAGCAGGTTATAAACATGTGGTAGTCAAGTCTCATACTCTATCAGTTGCCACTGGGAGCAACTGAGTCCAGGGTGGGTGAGAGCGCGGCTCCGAGTCGCCATCCGAACCCCGCTCAGAGTCCCTCTGGCACTCACGAGATACCCGAGACAGGCCCTCACAAAACTTGCAGAATTAATGTGTTAGCCGGGCGTGGTGGCGCACGCCTGTAATCCCAGCACTCGGGAAGCTGAGGCAGGAGGATTGTTGCGAGTTCAAGACCAGCCTGGGCTACAAAGTGAGCTCAAGGCCAGCCTGAACTGCATAGTGAGACCCTGTCTCAAGAAAAGAAAAGAAAAAAAAATGATGTTTTAGGGTCTATTGTTTCTGGCATATTTTCGTGAGGGCTGGAAAAACCAGAGTTAGGTGGATTCTGGGAAAGAGCTCAGGGAATTGTAAAACATCAAAGCCAAACCTCAGTTTCTCGAGAGTGAAGGGTCATGGAAAGGTTGGTTTTGTTTTTTGTGGGTTTATAGTCCAGTGAGTTACAAAGAATAGTCACCACACACAGTGAGTATTTAAACTTTTTTTTTTTTTTTCTTCCGGTACCAGGAATCCAACTCATGACTTTGCGCTTGCCAGGCAGGCGCTTTGCCGCTGAGCTAAATCCCCTAAACTTATTTTTTTGTGTGTGCCATTAATCACCATCCAAATACTCCCCCTCACTTCGAACACACTTTCCACTTTCTGAAGCAGTTCTGGGCGTCGTCTTTTGTGTCTTTGTGTTATCAAACATATGCTGAATGTTGCTGGTCCGAGTGCCATCTAGTGGAAAGGCAGGCTCACAAAACACAGTGCTCCGTCCTCCTCCACCCTACTCAGGGGATCTGCCATGGCAACTTTTGGCTCTTCCCCAAATTCAAAATGACCTTGAAAGGTAAACAGTTTGACTCCATTCAGGACGTCAAGGCAGCCACAACAGCACAGCTAAAGACACTCAGGAAAGAGGACTTCCAGAACTGCTTCAGAAGGTGGCAAGAACAATGGGATAAGTGTGTCTGACACGAGAGGAATATTTTAGGGGAATTAATGGCAATGTGTCTTTCACTGTAATTTTTTTTAAAGTTAAGCATTCACCATATTCTTCAACCACAGATCATGTATTTGTAGGCAGGGCGGTGGTTGAAGCCCAGCGTGGGGTAGGGTACCCTATAAAACTAGGCTGCTTCTTGGTTCTTTCCACTTTGAGATAAAGCCACAATCTGCTATTTTGGGATGACCATTTTAGGGAATCATGCTATATAAGAGGTGCTTCTAGTTTTGCGGCATGAGAAAGCTTCAGTGTATAGGAAAATCAGGGTTTGAGGCGTGAATTCTTTTAGTTATAAAATTCAGATAACAATACCAAGTAAATGTGGCAGCTGACTCTGCTAATATGTAGGTAGAACATGAGGTACTTAATTTTATCAAATATTATGGCTGTGTGAGTTGGCAAAGACCCCTCTATCTCTTATGCCCCCTAAATAATGGCAATAGCTGTATTTAGATTAGAGCTCAAATGCGGGGCCTCAAAAGAGAAAAGACTATTCTCCTCTCCTTACTGCCTTCCTCTCTAACTACGTATACTTTACTTGCCTGTCACATGCAATTGGTATAATCAAGTATTAAAAGAAGTTTCCTGATCTACATTATGCATCTTATTCATACACTTAGATATAATGTGCTATATATTTATCTTTGTGTTATGAACACTTCAGCAGAGTCAGTATTTTTTATTTTGATTAAAAACATCTCAATTACTTCCAATTGAAGTACAGAATGATGCTTTCTGTCAGGTTTATGTACTTTTTACTCACAGAGTGCCTGGGGCTTAGTACCAGGCACTGAACACACAAGTACTGAACACACAAGGGGTGGTCTGCCATCAGAGATGTACCAGATGCAGCTGCTGGATCAGCTAGTCTTCATTCAGCACTCCCAGGTCACCCCTTGGAGTGTCTCTGTCAGAAACGGAGTAAATCAAAACTTTCCTGTGGGTTCAGAGCAACAGGGATTAATGAACAGTATTCATCCCCAGCCTTGCAGGGTGGAGTTTCTCCTCCTTCCCTGCTACACCTTTTCCTGACATATCCCAGGGAGCTGGAGCAGGCTCCCGCTGGGTTCTCAGTCCCTCCATCCCCTGGTTCCATTCTAGTGCTGGAAAGTTTAACACTGTCTCCGGATCTTCCTGCTGCTTGCGAAGGGCTGTTTCTATTGCCTAAAACACCTATAATTTAAAAATCGTGGGGTGAATAGGATCCGTTGAAAATGACTGGAAGATGAGGCTTGGTTGATGGCTTTAGAATCTCCACTATAATTATATTAATTTTTTCCTCTGTCAGATAGCTTATGGTCTTGCTAGAAAAAATCGCTGAAAAGGGGGGGAAAAAAAAGAAGGAAAACCTCTGGTTGCAGTTAATGTAATAATTAAATGAAAACTGTATGTTTGAATTGCAGTTGAAATAGGAAATTAAATTATGCAAAAAAGTGTTATAGACTTGGACAAGTTTCCATACTGTTAATAAATCTATGCATAATTCATTTTCTTGTAGGCTATGACAAAATAGCATAAATAACTTCATTTGTAAGGCTGCGGATTTTTCTATTCTTAATTGGGTGATGGCTAAAACCATTTAAATGCTTCTGGATGACTGAATATATAAATGTTTAAAATGAGCAGTTATAATAGGTTTCTAGCTAGATTTGTTTATTTAATATTACTACATTTATTTTCCGATACTAGCATGGTACAGATGTTGCATAAAATTACACCCTTTATGGTCTGAGTTTGGTATGATTTTAAAGAAAAAGACATTAACTCTGTGCTCATGGAGAAAGCACCCCAGTACTCATCCTCAGGTACTGGACCAGCTCCCTTACAGTGTTCCTCTTCATTCTCACAGTACACTTAAAGACAGGTATATAAGCCAGTTCAACTGATGAGGAAACTGAGGCTCAAAGAAACGAGAAGTGAGCCCATGGTCCTGTAGACAGTGATAGAGCTGTGGCTGAGCCAGGGATTTGGGGTCTCTAAAACTCACACTCTTTCCACTGCCTGCAGCCTGCACCTTCTCTGGGACATCAGGCAGGTCTGAGCCACATATGTGAGCTCATGGAGTTGCCTGAACACCGAGGGCAGTCATTTTGAAGCTCACGTAGTACATATTTAGAGCTCAACACTTGTGGCTCTTATATTTATTCTCTTTCCTCTGTCAGACTTCTCTTTTGTCTCTAGGAGGAGGAGTTTGAGTGAGTGTGGCATTTTGAGGGACAGTCACAGAGTCAGTACACTGTCCTGTTGTCCAATGTCAAGGGCAGGCAGAGACCAGGAGTCCTCCAGGGAGTTCCTTTGCCGTTGCTAAGGGTCCACTCTTTCACCACTCAGGGAAATGATCGCCAGTCTAAGTCAACAATCAGATCCAGCGACAACTCATCTCCTCAGCCTCCGAAGAGGAAAGGGAAGAAAGACGACGGGAATTCAGAAAAAGCCACCAAAGCGAAACAAAACGTAAAGTCGAAGAATTCACAGCAAACAATTCTTAACAGCGGTGAGTTTGTCAGGGTTATATTGCTGCTGTTGGATATTATTGTTTTAAACCAGGGATACACTTTTAACTGTCAGATCATTTCTCTGGGTCCAGAAAAGATGCTCTTTATGACCATTGGAAGTAATGTTCTCTGCCAAGGCAGTGATTTACGTAGGAGATGATCTGCTGGTTTTCAGGCTCAGTTCCTATTTGTAATGAGTTGTTTTGTTTTGACGTCATTTGTTTTGCTTTTATTTACAAAACATAAAACTTGCCATCCTTTGCTCCTACTCTTAGTGCTCAGTTCACATCTTTACCATCTACGCTTGACACTGGTCTCCCTTGTTAGAGGTCTGTAGCCCTTGCCCACATGCATCTTGGTTTGTTTTTAGACACAGTTGGCCTTTCCTGAAAAGGAATACTATCCAAGAGAATGCTAAATACACAGGAACTTTACTAATAAACAATGCCGTCTCCACCAAAATGAATGATGTAGATTTATCTGGCACCAGCGGGCGAGAGATGGAATAACCTGTGAGCCATTTGGATTAGTCTGAGATTTCACTCACATGAGCTTAGGAGGATTGCACTGACCATGGCAAATGTTCACACTGGGTCCTGGTGAAGAGGGGCTGGCTTTGATTCCACTCCAAGCATGTTCTCAAGAGGGTACTCCTGTGAGAGTGGAGTGATATGGGGCCGGCTGGGAACAGAGCAGTGCTGTGACTGCTTTCCCTCCCCTGTGGGGCCTGGGAGAGGATGGATGGGATGAGCCCTCAGAGTCTGGACCGGCCTTGACTTCAACCTCGGAGCTGCAGCTGATGTTAAAGTTCCCCAGGAAGAGTCATGTTCGAATTGCTTATAGCCAGTGCTGCTCCCAGCGGAGGAAGCAGCATGAACTCCACTCCAGAGATGGCGCTGCATAAGAGACTAAAGAGCTAGAAGAAAGGGGTGCTTGCCTAGGTTAAGAAAGAGGGAGGGCCAGGTGTGGTGGTGCACACCTGTAATCCCAGCACTCCGGAAGCTGAGGCAGGAGGATCATTGTGTGCTCGAGGCCAACCTAGCCTGCATAGTGAGTTCAAGGCCAGCCTGAACTACATTGTCGGACCCTGTCTCAAAAAAGAGGGAGGGGCTTGCCTCTCTAGCAATGGAGATTAGCTGGAAATCAGATGTCTCAGATTCTTGTTCTAGTCCTTAACTTTTTTCAGCCCATAATCTACCTTTAATATGTGGGTTCTTGTTTATCTTTAAAATTTTGCTTATCTTTTAAGTCTGTACCAGGCTGGGGATTTAGCTCAGTAGTGTAGCACCTGCTTGGCAAGCATGAGGTCCTGAGTTCAATTCCCAGTATCCAACCTCCCCAAATCTGTACCATCTTTTTCAGTAACTAGGAAACAAGGAGGCCAGGGTGAAATACAGGTAGCAAATTTTTATTGAGTGCCTATTACGTGGCAGAAGCCAAAGAAAAAAGTTAGCTCGGAAGAACATGCTATACTTTGTGGATTAAAAATAATAAAGGCTTACTAGTGAGATGTTGGTCCCCCCCCCCCGCCCTCCCCCGTAATCTCAGCACTCACAGAAGGCTGAGGCAGGAAGGGTCTGAGTCCAGCTTAAGCACCTTACTGATCTCACAAGACCTTGTCTCAATAAAAAAAAAAGGCTTGTGATATAGCTTAGCATGAAGGCCCTGAGTTCAACCACCAGGGCCATTCCCACACCATGGAGGTTTTATATTAATCAGTACATATTAGATGGTGAAACCTTCAAGGTCATGGGCTGTGTATTGCTAGTTTCTTAAAATCCTGATCACAAGCAGAGGTCAAATAGATATGAGGCACTTAATAAATGTTGAATGAATGAATGATGGATGTAAAAAAACAGATAAGTTCCAGTAATACTTTAAAATCCACTAAGAACAGATCCCATTTAAAACTTTCATGAATTATTGACTAAAAAGCTTATAGATATGTCACTTGCATATTGTCTGTAAGTCTCTTATTAGCTTATGGAAATCCCAATTCCTACTTCTAGTGTATTTTTAAAAAGTTTTTGGATTTAGTAGCTGTCTCTAGGAAGAAAGCAAATGATGATTTTGTCTTGTTACACTGTTTTCAGAGACTTGGGTACACACAGACACACTGACATTGTCCTTTTCCGGAGGAAAGTCATCTTTATTAGAAAGTATTTTTGCTTTTGTAGAAATTCACGGTTTTCAACAATATTTGTATGTACAGAGATGAAAATAATAAAACTACAGTTAATACTGAAGCAAGTAATTTTTAAAAAGTGCCAGGCAAAGTAGCTGCCCCCATTGACTTTTTCTTGGTCTTGAGATAATCTGCAGTTGTTTTCAGTAATGTCGCATCTTGAGCAGATGTTTTCCCTTGTAGCTTTGTGATGCACAGATTATAGGTTTTCAAATTGCCAGGACAGTGGCTGGTGCCTTTCACAGGAATGTTTTAGGCACTGAATTTTCTTTTTTCCCCTAGCAAGCAGCTTGTACTCCTGACTGAGAAGGCATATTTAAGAGTTTAGACAAAGCATTTTGTGTATTTTTATCATGACAGAAAGAACATATAACCTGGAGAGAAAACCTTGTCTTGCAGAAACCTTTTTTTTTTTTGTAGGAAAAATGAAAAAAGATTTTGTGCAGTCCTCTGGATTAACCTGTTACTTGATATATTTAAGCATGGCTGTTGAAAATGGAGCTGTTTCTCCTCATGAGCTCCCTGCAGATGTCCTTGGCTAGAGAATTTTCTAGATTATAATATCAAAAGCCCCCCTCCCACCGGTTCCTCTCTCCCTCTCAATTCAGCCTTCATATTCATTTATTATTGAAGTTGCCCATTACTGTAATGCTGTCATTTTATCAATTAGAACTGCACTCGTGCTTCTGATGTTTCGGTAGTAGGAGGCCTCTTATCCTTTGGAAAGGTAAGAGCAACAAGAATTTGAAGCAAAGGCAGAGGGAAATGCATGGGGAGCCAAGATCACGAATAAAGAATAATGTAAGGAGTTGGTTTTAGAGATGGAATCTACATAGCTTTTTCTATTTACCATTTAATGTTAATCAAGCTGTTCCGTTTTGTTTCCAAGTGTCAAATTTTAGGGTTAGAGCATTTGTGATGAGTTTCTAGCATTTGTTAAATTATGCAAATGTTTACTACAGTGTTGTTTACCTATATACTGTTCTCACCTTGAGCTCATGTATAGTTAAGAATAGCAGCCGCACGTATTGTCCTTTTTTATGCTGCTGATATTTACTGATACTCAAATATCAGGTGCTGTGTGAATGAGCAATGCCGCTATGAGACTGCAGAGGGCAACCTGTGACTAATTTTATTTCTTTTTCCTTTTTTTTTTTTTTTTTTTGACTCCGTTTCTCTCTAATAGTAAAGCTTAATAATTGAAGCAGAGCAGTGACATATTTCTTCAGGGAAACAAATCCCATTTTCTTTTGGTAGCCAAGATGCAAAGTAAGATTGGGTGGTGATGGATGAAGTTGGGTGTGAGTTACATTTTTAGTGCTGCATTTAAATACCAGCTTAAGTGACCAGCGCGTTTTTGTTACACTTTCTGCTTGAATTGCAGCACCTTGAGGTATATTTTAGAGGTGTTAACTAGCTACACTCTCTACAATGAGCAAAACAGTAATGATGATTGCTTTGAAATGCCATTTTGGATGATTGGTTATAGCTATTGGTATTCTTGGTATTCAGTTCATGAAAGTACTTGGTGCTTTGTGAACCTTCAGAATATAAAGTACAGTAGAGTGTGTTTAATTTTGAAGTACTGTAAAGTATGCAAAGAAGTTAGCCTTGTCTATATTGCTACGATTTACATTGTATTAGTAATTATAAGTAGTTTTAAAGGTAAAAGTGTTGAAATGTGATAAAAACCAAAGCTTGTTTTCTTTTTTGGTCTGTGCACGTAGGTGTGTGCATGTTCTCTCTCTCCCCCTCCATACACACACATTCACTCACACACACATTCACTCATGCACACTCACATACGAGGACCAGGGTCCTTGCTTCCTGACTATTCCCTGGGTCACGCCACGATAGCTCTCAGGGAACTTATGATGCGTAGGCTTCTAATGAATGGTGGGAGCAGGTGCAGAGCCGGCAGAAGGCTATCTCAGTATTGTGACCTTGTTGGATGACTGCCCTTGAGCAATCATGCTCTTGAATTTCCTAATAGCTACAACCCACATGGCTGCCAGCGCCGCCTGAGCGTGAAGCACTGCTGCATCCATCCCAGACTCCCGGAATCCCAGGGCTCTGAGCCTGGAGCTTTGTTGAGTCAGCTGTGAAACAGCTCAGGTACTTGCATGGCTCTCATTCAGCCAGGTTCCCCCATCTCAAGATGAAAAAGGGATATTGCCCACTGTAAGAAAGTACACTGGGGGTGCCAGATGACCCAACAAAGTAGGGCACTGATTCTCTTCAATCAGCCCAGGAAAGATGTATAATTTGTTGCTGTGTCTTGCTACCGCGATTGCCCTGTGACAGAGAAATACGGATTCTTACTCCTTTGTTGACTGTAACTTCACAGCTTCATTGGCAGTGTGGGAGATGGGCCACATTTTAGTGCATCAAGTACTAGCAGGACACAAAATTATATCATTAGCATTTTCCCACACCTTGATAATTCACTCCTTGGCATAACATACTGTGCAACAAAATTCTAGCACAGCAAGGGATTTTAGTCCTCTCTAGCGTGCTTATTGTGGAAGTCAATTTCTACTAATGAAAGTTTCAGAACATACACTGTGTTATTTACTCTAGTGCTGAGAGATTAAGAAATTAAAACCTGGCTTTAAATATAGGTAAGATGTATATCTCAATTTCAGTGGAGTTAAATACCAGCCCTGCTCTTTTCTGAGGTTCTGGGATTGAATGCAGGACCTCACATGTGATAGGCAATGGTTCTACCACCGAGCTACATCCTCAGCCTGTTTTGAAAAAGGATTCATTTCACATCCTTTCCTCTCATATACTTTGCATGCCATCTAGAGATGG